TTTACACTTTATATATGTATATTTGGTTTTTCATACAGATCATACAGCATTTCATTGTGCCTCTTTTCATAAATTCCCAGGTTGTCGTTGTACACCGGTCCGTATATATTTCTTAATATTTTCCTTTACCATATAGCAAGTTTTCTATTGTTATCTTATGTCGTGGACCAAGTCTCACATCCGTAGGTTACTATTGGCCTAAGAAAGCTTGTGTACAGTGTAGTTTTTGACTTCCTAGATAGCAGTTTTGATCTCAAAAGTTTGTTTATGCTAAAGTAACATCTATTTCCATTCAATATTCTTTCATTTCCCTATGCATGTTGTTATTGCTGATTATATTAACACCTAAGTATTTGAAATTATCCACCCTTTCAAAGTTCATATTTCCTACTTTCAGGTTTGATTGGTCTAAGTTTCTTCTAGATAGTATTAATATAATAAATATAACTAATATAATAATCAGGGCTCATAACTTATAGCTCCAAAAAAAGTAGTTATAAGCTCTATAATAGGCTCTATAAAATATTCATATAAGCGCTTAAATATGCACTACAAAAAAAAAAAAAATATGCAAAAATAAATATAACATGAAAAATAAACAATTTTCACTTATTAAAATTCTGATTGTGTTGCTATATGATACAAATAAATATATAATTTAAATCAAAAAAAGAAGAATTAGTTAATTAACATGAATTAATTACAAATATAAAAATGTTTTAAGTGCTAAAGAACTGAAAGACTTAAAAAAGCAAAATAGCACTTATACTTTGAAATATGCAAAAATATGCAACATAAAATTTTGTATTTAACTTCTTAGTTAACTAAAACAAATGTATAGTTTACATAGGTATTTCTAGGACTTCTCAAAAAAAAAAAAAAAAAAATGTAAATGCTATAAGTTATGAACCCTGATAATAATATAATAATTAAATATTAATAATAACATTAATAAAATAACAAATTATAACACTTGATATATTTGATTTACCTAATTCTGTAGCTAAAAGTCTAGGTCCAATAAAGTCACATTGAGATAGTTTAATTAGAATATCTGTTAAAAATATGAAATAACTTTTATGTGTTTCATTTGAAAAAAATAAGTTGCTATGACAATGAAAAATAGAATAAACAAATTGTAATGTTTTTTGTACATCGGATGATTTTTTTATTGTTTCCGGAGAAAGTAATGAACCTGCTTCTTCCTAAAAAATATTATTTAATTTGATTAATTTCATTTTAAATAATGTTTATTAACCTATAAAATATTCACCATTATTTTTAGCCACTTAGTAATTTTCCTAAACATTATTATTGAATTAAAGTTGGTAAATGAACTCTCACAAACATCAATATCAAGACAGTTCATCACAATAGTGAATAACTGTAATGTACCAGTTTTTGGATTTTTCTCAAAGACATTCACCCATATGTTTATTATAGCCTTTAAAGTAAAGTTAATACTCAAAAATATATTTGATAAGTTTTTTCAGTCAATGGATTAGTTGCAATTATTTAATATTATTAGAAATATGAGATAAGCAATATTACTTACATTTATTTCTGTATCAATAGAAATGTTAGTATCTATTACATTAAAAAAACTTTTCTTCATTTGATAATTTGTATTAGATGAAGCTGAAATAATCAATTGTATACATTAGTCAAATAAAAATAAAAATTAAAATACCTGTTAAGTACTCCAAGTACTGGAATATGACAATATTATTTTCAAACACTATAATTTTTAGAAACAAATCAAATACCTACCTAAAAATTTGGATAATTTTCATGAATTTAAGGTGGATTAGAGAGTTAAGTTTATCGTACGCAACTAATGAATGTTAAGAAAAATATGAACTTACATGTAGACCACGACAAATCAGATGGAAGCGAACTACTTTCGTTCGAAGAGTGATTTAATTCTTCGTGTTCAATATCCATTGTAATATTTTGTCTCAACACGTAGTGAACACGAGCTTATCTTAATTCATATACTAAAATAACTTCGGCAAACTCCCAATCGAAAAATTAATTCACTTAGGATATTGTTGGCAAAGCTTACTTACCCCTTGACCAGTAAAGTGTTATATTCAGTACCTATACAACTCTCAATTGAACGTTCTGCATTTCTGCGGAGTTGCGGTAACTGTGGTCTTAACCTGATACTTGTAGGTATCTGTGTACATGGCTGAAAAGGTTCATTTAGTTTTCATAAACTCATAGATTACCGAATAGAATACCATAAATATGTTAAAAGTTATGAGACAGGGCCTCGATTGGACCGAGGAGTTGCGAAGAAAAGAACATTTTAATAGATTGCTAAAACTGATAACTAAAAAAAGTTGCTGTTTTTAGTGGTCAATTGTTACGGTATCGTGGACCGATTAATGTATATTATCTTTTATGCTGTTTGGTTACGTATCGTTTATAGAAGTGCGAGGTTAACATCGATTGTATGAAAATAAATTATATCAAGTATGTATGTATGTACTAAGTCATTATGATCGATTCTTATTTATTATACGTTATATTTATATATACGTTTTATCGTTAATCTTTGCTATTCATTTACTCACACATGATAGCAATTACTGTGAATTTATAACGAATGTATGTATGATTTACGCTGGTGTAATATTAGAATGTATTGTACCGATACCCACCGACAGCAATATTTACCACGGATTACAAGATTTTATCAATCTATCTTTAAAATCGTTATCTGATCAAATTCCTATTTCAATTATATATTATATACTAATGTATACGTTATAATAAGAACACGAAGACCACGAAGAAGATGGATAGGCAGCATAAAAGAGATTTGGAATGCGGCAGACCATGGCGGGACGTATTGGCAAGTTATAGCGTATGATAGAGGGAAATGGGAGGAGGTAGTTTTGGCGGTAAAGATCCTCAATGGTTGTAAAGCCGGAAAAAATATACACAGTAAAATCTTGATAAGACGGAATTTCGGTAAGACGGAAACCCCGGTATTATGGAACATTTTTTTAGTCCCGTTTCAAATTACATATAATTAATTACCCCGTCAAGACGGAAACCCCGTTATTACAGAAAAATGTCATGGTCCCAAGCGATTCCGTCTTATTGAGGGTTTACCGTATTTATTTATTTATATATATGCAATATAATTATCTGATGATTGTGGATAACGATAAACAACAACAGTATTTTACATTTATAACAAATACTCTCAGTCTACGTCATAGATTAGTATATATGGTCTACGTTCATACGTCGTTGCGAACAGTCGTGTATCATTTTTCGTGCATTTACAGATAAAGTCCGCTCTATGTAAATATATTTGATTATTTTAATTGATACGTTTTATCCATGTCGTCTTCGGGTGGCGGCTTTCGTGTCGGCCACAACTCGTCAACGACCAAAATAAAATCGACAACATAAAATAAAAGTTCGGGACCCAGTTCTGATTTCACACTCGTTTCTTACTCATGTAAGTTTAAATCTAAAACAAATCCTGCCAGTCCCGTCTCTCCAGGTTTACAACAAATATTAAATAATCGTAGTCCACCAGTTTAAATACATCAAACACTGCTTTCAATTATAATATACCCGATAACACTTACGAGTCAATTATTGTCGATGATGCCATTAATGGTTACGATCGACTTAACGAGCTCTCTGCTACTATGTTATCTACGGATAACATTACGCCATTATCAACCTAAAACCAGGCTATTGATAAAAATAATATCAACACACTACTTCAATATTTTTCACCGGACTATAATGGTCCTATAGTAATACTCGCTAAATGCACCGACCAAAACAGAAATTTAGGGAATTTGCACCCTTTCAAAATAGCAAAATTCTTTTCTACCAACTTCACCGGCATCACAAATATCAAACCAGCTCAAAAAAAGTTAAAATTACTTTTGATTCTATCACCCAACTATCTATGTCTAAGTTCTAAACTCCCGAGTGATAACGGTTTCCAGGTAAATATACCTGTCTCTCTTATTTTTGCTTATAGTGTTATCAAACTCGATAATAACATCTCAGAAGCGGAATTTTTTGAGGGTCTCCACTCTCTTGTTCCAGTAGATAACTTTAAACGTATCTCCATTAAAAAAGATGGTAATATTATTCACACTCGCACTGTCGAATTGAAATTTGTTACAACCAAAATTCCGTCTGTCATCTCGCTATTCAACATGATTTTCGAAGTTAAGCCCAATATTTGTTCCCTCGTTCAATGTAACCATTGTTTACGGTTCGGTCACACTCAAAAATATTGCCATAGCGATGTACGGTGCAGTCACTGTGGTGAAACTAAGCCACATTCGATACATGTCCCTCCGCCCAAGCCATCGATCCGGTTTGTCTTTTATGTAAACTACCTTACCTGGCTACGGTCCGAAGCTGCCAAGAATGATCTACCCAAAAAAGTATCAGAAAAATCATGGCAACTGAAAATATATTATATAAGGATGCGTTAGTTTTTAAGAAAAATAATTGTTATACATCTGCCTTCAAATATTTTGACACTTTAAACTACCAGTCTCCTATCCTAAAATTATGGAAATGAACCCCCCCTCTTAATAACGAACATTTCCCCAGCCTAAATGACAATCTTCACTTTTTCAACTAAAAAAAAAAAAAAGGAAGTATAAAAATAGTCCTCCTCAATCTAAGGGAAATATTACTTTACCAGCTGTACAATCGTATTTTCCTTCTAATGGGAGTTACTTGAAAAAACAAACTATTAACCAATCACACTTACAGGATGGTACCCAAAACGATTTCTCTTGGGTACATAGCTTATCTCTCAAACTATCCGAATCTCTTATCAATTCTCCTTCTTTATTTTCTCCGTTTTCTCCCTCCCTTCAGAACCTAATCGAATCTTCATTATCTTCTCTCCTTGCCATACCTAATCCCAATGCTCTTGTTTAATAATTATAATTGTCTAGCCACCACTCTTATCATCTCAATAATTAATACACAGTTAAATAATAAATAATTATGCATTTCAACCACAATAATAAAATAAATCCTTTCTCTAATTTCAATATATTGCAGTGGAACGTAAGAAGCCTTTCAGCTCGCTTTCCATCTCTGCAGTATTTACTCACTAGCCAAAAATATTCTATAGCCATTCTTTCCGAGACTTGGCTCCTTCCATCACGTTCCACTAATATATCCCTTTTAAAACATTTAGATGTGATCGTCCAAATGGCTATGGTGGTGTTGCCATTACTATACATAATTCTTTCAATTCTAAACTTATACCCATTGACATCATAACTAGAAATAGACTCATAAGCTTTAAAATAGATCTCATTGGTATTGAAATATCGAGAATAGATTTCTCAATTCCATTTAAGGTATGGTCTTGCTATATTTCCAGCATTTCTAATATTCCCACCGATCTTTGGCTGATCCTCTTTAATGTAGTTACACAAAACTCTATTCTGCAGTGACTTCAACGCCTTTCATCTCACCTAGGATTTCTATCTAGTTTCTCATAGGGGTAATCTAATATATGTCACAATAAACTCATTAGGATTATGCCTTTTAAATGACGGTTGTCCTACTCATGTGGAGCGTTTAAACTCTACCGATTCAGCCATTGATCTATCTTTTTGCTCTCCCGACCTTGCTTGGAAGCTATTGACGCGGTTCCGCTGTGGTGCAGGTACAATAAGTACACCACTATCACGGAGCCGCGCCCGCTCTCTACCCAACCTCAATCCGGGCAACGACAACACCGTTTCCGATACTACCCACCTACCTCGGAAAACCGGGCAGAGATGGGAAAAGTTATCGGAACCGGTGGCAACGTACCGACCGAGTCACCAAGCCTCAAGTCACCAATCTCCTGCTTGTGACCGTCGGTGAATCAACATCGTACCAGCTTGTTTTTTGTCTCTCCACCACCGTCACCAGAGGACCACCCTTTATATTTGATTATTTTTCGTTTGGCAATAAAAATTGTGATCAACATATCCTGTTTGGTTTCGTGGTTTTTTTTTCTTCTTTTTCTACACACGATTCACTTCACTCAACAGTGACCGGCCACCTCACCGAGGGAAAATCTATCGACGACCTGAGGCTGTGTCACTATCATAGAGTAATCTAAGTGAGGCTCACGGTAATGATCATTACCCAATTACTATAAAAGCCAACTTTTCTAATATCACCACTTAAATCATCCTATCTCCAAACCTGATTCTATCCGAAATATACCAACTCTCTTCAATTATTTTAATAAAACGGATTTGGCGTCATTCTCTCTCCACATCCAAAACTAAATTTCCTCCTTACCAAATGATCCAAACCCATCAATGTCTTATACAGATTTCACAAATATTATTGATAATGCAGTCAAATCAACGATTTCCAGCTTAAGACCAATTAAAAAATCTTTCCCTCCCGCTCCACCATGGTGGAATTCTATTTGTACCAACTTCGTGAAAAATCGATCCTCACTTTTTAAAACTAGCTATTTTTTCTTGTAAGTCAATAGCGTCTGGTCTCGATAATATTTCCCCACTTATGCTTAAGCACCTTCCCAAAAATGCTTTAGACTCTCTCCTCTCGATAATGAATAATATATTAAATAATCAACAAACCCCTCGTCGTGAAACTCTTATAAAATCATATCTATTCCTGAACAAAACTCTAATACTTCCTTCCGACCATTAGTAATATCATCCTCTTTGTGTAAAATATTTGAACATATGCTGAAGTCAAGGCTTGATTGGTGGTTTGAATCTAACTCTATTCTATCGACAAATATATTTGCATTCAGTAAAGGTTTGGAAACCACTAAATGCCTCGCAACGTTCTTAGGTCATATTTATCACTCCTTTAACAACAAACAATTTTTTATTGCTACATCTGTTGATATCGGTGGCGCCTTTGAATCTATCAATATCCCCACTTTTATATCACATCTTTTTTTACATGCGCCTCCTAAATTTTGCAACATATTGCTCTCTCTTTTTAATCGCAGAAATCTCGTCTTCTCCTCTCCTTTTGGCTCTTATAATATTCGTTCTACATTCGCAGGTCTGTCACAGGGAAGTTATCTTAGCTCATTACTTTTCAATATATACATATATGAACATTGTCAAAAAGAATCTAATGTCACTCGGACACCAATGTCTTATTTATGCTGATGATATGGTTATTTTCTCTTCCAATAAATCTCTTAATATTGCTGTTGAACATCTTAATATGACACTTAAAGACCTAAAAATTATATTAGATAGGTTATCTTTTGAAGTTGCACCGGAAAAATGTAACTCAGTTATTTTTACCCGACGTAGATATATAGAGCCTCCTAATATCTATTATGATAACAAAGCCTTTTCCTTTGTTCTGAATTTCACTTATCTGGGAATCATACTAGATGCAAAACTACGTTGAA